CATTGCCATGCTGCAATGAGTTTCGATGACAGATAAGATGGAGGAATTCGCACTGACCGCCTAAGACAGGCAGCGTCCCTTAAACAAATAATAAATAAGGGGGAATCTGATGCAGACCGTGCAGACCCGGTCAGGAGTTCAAGTCCCTGTGGGACCAAGCGTTGCAGACCGTCCAAACCATAGGCTCTAAGGACCAGACTTTAGCCACCTAGCAGACATATAGCAAACTGTCCCTCATCTGATTATTCAGTTATGCTTGTTAGTAATCGCATACATGAGCCCTGGATATCCACAGATAAATGTAAAAACCTTCCCTAAAAGCCGAGACTGTAAATTCCAAAAAGGCAAAGTTTCCCCCCGCCTCCAAAAAAAAAGCTAAAGAGGATAGAGAGAAACAGTGTTAACTGATGATGTATGGAGGGGATTATAATCAATGTAATGAAACAAGTCATATGAATGGTTGAATGTGAAACTGATGATGTGACCTATAAACTTTCACTCAATCCACAATAAAAACCTTAAAAAAAAAATTATAGCAAAAGGACTGACAGTGAACATTGAGAATTAAATGAAGGGCAAAGACTGAAAGAAAGGTGGAATTATGGTCATGGAAAAGAATTTAAGTGCTGTAAACACTTCAATTGGGAAGAAGGTAAGAGCAATGTAAATACATTGGTTTTCATAATTTTTATAACCACAAATAAAAACTATTTTAAGCTGTTAAATAAGAGAGAAATAATACCACTACTGGAGTCCTGGTGTAGTGTTGTAGGGTAAGCACTAGAGTGTTAATGCAAAGTCGGTTCAAACCCACTAGCTGCTCCTTGGAAACCCTATACAGGTTCACTATGAGTCACAACTTACTCTATGGCACTCAACAATAACAGTATCACTACTTGTCTAGTTAGTGGCTAGGCACCACAGCATATGATGAAGAACATATACTTTTGGGTTAGAAAGACAAGAGTTTTAACATTGGCAATTATTTGTTTCTGGCATGTTTTATAGGAAGTGCCACCGTCATACTCTGCAGTCACATTAAGTAACACAGAGGTAAATAATTTGAAGACTAATACACAAATGAAATCCCGATACAAGAACTTAATACAATTTCTGAACAGAGAAATAATTGCCAACTTAGTGCGAATTCCTCAACCTCTCCAACCAGTATATAGTTTCCTTGACTGTAAGTAGGTGATGATCAAATGTGCCTGAAATTTGTTGGTCTTCATTATTATTAAGTGCTGTTGGGACCCTGTTGGGGGATCGGAACCACCAATCTTGCAGTTAGCAGCCCAGTGCTTATCCAACAGCACCACACCAGGACTCCATTTGTTGAACTTAATGTAACACAATATATTCTCATTTATTCCCTTGCAGGTCTTGGTTAAGGGAATCTGTTGCTCATATCAACTACATAGATAAAGTTGCTTGAGAAATTGCTATTCTTACGTGTTGTGGTGGTGGTTCCCAATCAGAGACCCTGGGAAATTGCAGCTACATCCTTCAGAGAATCCCATACCCCTGTAGGCCTGATCATTCACTAAAATCATACTGGTATTCTCATCATAGTCTTCAATCATACAGGTAAATGTTAAATTTGGTTTACTATTTATTTTTACATGATCTCTATTTTAAAAAATCAAAAGTGTTAGAGGGAGGATGAACACCTCACATGTAGTGACACAAACTGAATGCTCCAAAATGGCCACACTACCCCAAGGTCAGTGGTTCAAACTCTCTAGCGACTCCTTGGAATCCCTATTACAGCAATACTATAGGTCAGAATGAACTTGAAAGCACTTAACAATAATGTGTAAATTATCAGTCCCTATCAACTTAGTCCAAAGGAGCTCTGGTAGCTCCGCAAGGTCAGCAGTTCAAAACTACCAGTGGCTCCGCAGGAGAAAGATGAGGCTTTCTGCTCCCGTAAAGATTTACAGCCTCAGAAACTCTGTACAGGGTCACTATGGGTCGGAACCAACTCGACGGCACTTAACAACAACAACAACGTCAACTCAAACCATAGTTCCTATTCCTTCTCCTTGCTCCTGTAATCTAGCTGACAGCCCCCTCCTCCCACTATGCATACCAAAACTGCTTGTCCTTGTGGAAGGGGCAGGCAGCCCCGCACTTTGTGATTTTCCTACCTTTTCTTTGTTCTCCATACCAGCTTTAACTGCTCTGATACTGTGAAACTTGTATAACCCATGATATAACAAATACCCTAGCCTACACCCCTCCTAAGGAAAGCTTCACTGTCCAGTCATTTGTCAGTAAGTTTCCCTGTGTAAACCATCTCTTTTATTTTCTTCTCTGTAATAAACCAGCATCTCTTGGATTAAGTTCTGGTGTTTCTTTTGGTATCTCCACAACTACATACACAAAAGACTGCTATTTTTGGCCTAAACCCTAACACCACTTAAGCCCACATTGCCTTTCTCACTGGCAGGCTGGGGAAAGAAGCAAGGCTCATGTGGGCTCTTTTCCAGAGCATTTTCTGGGTGTTTCCTCATCTCTCCAGGGCACCTTCCTAGAACTTCAAGTTTATTTGTACAAATATCACAGGAGGACATTAGCCCCATGCAAATAGCAGTCTTCAGATAGAGAACTCTACTCCGGAAACATTGTGGGGCCCTGGGTACCTGACCTGGAGCCAGAACTTGAACTGAGACCTTAACCGAATTTTGGCCTTAGTTGGACATTGGCTTTGTGGCTCTGTGGGTTAGGTGTTAGATTTTTGTCGGGAAGGTCAGTAGTTCAAACCACTTTCACTTGAGAGAAAGATGAAGAGTTAGTCTCATAACCCCTGTATTGAAGGTGCCCTGGTGGATTCCCCTTTGGACTGTTAACTGCAAGTTCTGTAGTTTGAATCCCCAGCCGCTCCAAGGGAGAAAGATTTCTTTCTGAGTTGGTACCAAATCCAAGGCACACAACCACTACCACCACCGAACTCTATATAAGGTCACTATAAATCACAAGTTCTGGTGTGCTGTAGAATAAGCACTGAACTGCTTAATCACAAGGTCAGCGATTCAGACCCACCAGACGCTTCTGGGAAACCCTACATAGGGTGGCTGTGAGTCGGAACCGATTCCACGGCACTTAACAACATTATGAGTCACGAATGGACTCCATGGTGCTGAGTGAGTTTTGCTGGGAAAGGGGCCCGGGTGGTGAGCTGCTCATGAGCAGTAGACTCGCTCCACCGGCTTCCAGCTTCCTGGTCTTACCTGCTCTGGAGGAAAATGTAGGAGGTTGGGATGGGAAGACCCCGTTTGAACACAACGTTTCTTTGCTTTTATGGAATATTGGTTGTAAAGACCACCCTGTGCGCGAGGGGTCAATTCTCGGTGGCACTTTCCGGTGAGGAGGCCAGCGTTAGCCATTGCGCCAACGTGGGCCTGAGGAGACTTGAGCCGCTAGGGAGCCCGCTGGGGCCGGAAGAGGTGTTTCTGCCGCTGGAGGCCGGTATGGAGGGTGCGGCGCTGGGCACCGCTCCTGGGCTGTAGCACCTCCCCAGAGAAAACCGACGGGCCTTGGAGATTAGGACTTGGCGTCTCAACTAGAGAGTGGGATTCCCCTCCCTGGTGGGAACCGCGATCCAAGGCAGGTCCTGCCAGGAGGGCAGTCTGGGGCGCCGGTGGAGTAGTCCAGGTGACACGGAACAAAATGCCCTGATTTGACCCCCCTCCAAGACTCGCCGGGGGAGAGAGAGAATCGCCCTCATTTGACTGGAGGCGCAGAGACGTTGGTTGGTTGGTTTTGTTTTACTTCCCGGCCTGTTAGGTTCTGTCGAGTCGGTTCCGACTCATAACGACCCTAATTACAACACAACGAAACCCTGCCCGGTACTGCGCCATCCTCACAATTATTACATCTGAGTCTATCGATGCTGCCACTTGGCCAATCCATCTCGCTGTCAGTCTTCCTCTTTTTCTCTGACCCTCCACCTTACCAAACATGATATCCGTCACCAGAGACTGATCCCTCCTGACAATGTGTCCGAAGTATGAGAGATGAAGTTTAGCCACTCTGGCCTCCAAGGAGCACTCTGGCTGCACTTTTTCCAACACAGATCTGTTGGTTCTTCTGGCAGCCCATGGCACTTTCAATATTCTCCAACACCATAATCAAAAGCATCAATTCTCCGGTCTTCCGTATTCATGTCCAACGTTCACATGCATATGAGGCGAGTAGGGCCCGTGGTGGCGTAGTGGATATAAATTGGACTGCTAACCACAGGTCAGCAGTTCTAATCCCCCAGCTATTCCGAGGGAGACAGATGAAGTTGTCTGCTCCGGTAAGGATTCACAGCCTGGGAAACCCTGTACAGGGTCTCTATGAGTCAGAACCAATTCCACGGCTCACAACCACCACCATGAAGCAATTGAGAAATACCCTGGCTTGGGTCAGACATGTGCACCTTGCTCCTCAAACTGTTATCTTTGCTCTTTAACACTTTTAAGAGGTTTTGTGCATGAGACTTGCCTAATGCAATCATTTGATTTCTTTACTGCTGCTTCCATGCTTGTTGATTGTGGATTCAAGCAAAATGAAATTTTGGACAACTTCAGTCTTTTTACTGTGTATCATGATGTTATTGATTGGTCTAGTTGTGAGGATTTTTGTTTTCTTTACATTGAAATGCAATCCTTACTGAAGGCTGTACACTTTGATCTTCATCAGTAAGTATTTTAACACCTCTTTACTTCCAGCAAGCAAGGTTGTATTATCTGCATATTTCAGGTTGTTAATGAGTCTTCCTCCAACACCGGTGTCACATTCTTCTTCGTATAATCCAGGTTCTCAGATTATTTGCTCAACATACAGGCTGAATAAGTATGGGGAAAGAATACAACTCAGGCACACACCTTTTCTGATTTCAAACAACAGAACAATAGAACAATGGGATACTGAACGCCTCTTGGTCTATGTACTGATTGCTCATGAGCACAATCAAATGTTCGGCAATACTCATTCTACACAGTATTATCCATAGTTTGTCATGATCCACACATTCAAATGCCTTTCCATAGTCAATAAAGCACAAGTAACCATCTTTTCAAGATTCTCTGCTTTCAGTCAAGATTCATCTGATGTCAGCAATGAGATCCATAGTTCCAGGTCCTCTTTTGAACCGGCCTGCATTTCTGTCAGTTCCCTGTTGATATAGTATTGCAACCAGTTTTTAATTATCTTAAGCAAACTTTTGCTTACATGTGATGTTAAGATAACAATCTATGATTTCCATGCTGTGTTGAGTCACCTGTCTTTGGAATGGGCACAACTATGGACCGCTTCCAGTCCGTTGGCCAGGTAGTTGTCTTCCAAATTTCTTGGCATAGATGAATGAGCACCTCCAGTGCTGCATCAGTTTTCTGAAAGATTTCAGTTTGTATTCCATCCATTCCCAGAGCCTTGTTCTTTGCCAATGCCTTCAGTTCACCTTGGACTTCTTCCTTCAGTACCATTGGTTCTTGAAATCATTGAATACTAACCATTTCTTTCTTTTTTTTAAGGTTTTTATTGTGAATTGAGTGAAACTTCACAGGGCAGATCATCAGTTTTACATTCAACAAATCATATACCTTATTTCATTACAATGATTATAATCTCCTCCATGTACCATCAGTTAACAGTATTTCTCTCTATTCACTTTAGCTCTTTTTTTTTTAAGACTCAGGCATATATATAATAATTTATACCACCAAAAGGCATATTCTGCAAGTCTGCCTGCCTCCTGGATGCCAGCCCTCAGTTCCTCTCTTCCCATGAATCTAGAGTCCTCAGCTGCTCCCTCTCCATGTCCCTATCTCTGCCTCCATCTCTGGTGTCACTGCTTCTCTGGATAGGGTCTCGCATTTTGCTTATGCTCTTCTCCCTTGATGTCCTAGGGTCCTCTGTTTCTGGACTGTAAGATTAACTACTCCCCCATTTTTGTTAAAAAACTTCTACCTTTACAACTGAGGCAGTCGCAATTAGTCATGATAACTATTACTCATTGTTGAATCATAAGAATTTTATCCCCATCTCTTTTCACTAGACCCATCTAGACAAGATGAAAACTACTCAGTGGGGACTCTTTCATCCCTCACATACTATTAAACTAAATTCTCCCTTGAAAGCTTGTAAGCCAGTCACTTCATGCCTTTATCACCCCCACATTTTAAGTAGCCAATGTCTAAGTTGCCCATCCCTATCTTTGTGTACAGAGGGGATAGCATTAATACTTGATGTGAAGACTCCTTCCTTCTCTGTTGGTATTTAGAGTTACTACATCCATAAGTATAGGTCAAGTTCATCAAATTGTAGTAATTTACCCTTGTTTCCTTTATCAAAAATTGTTTTTTTCTTTCTTCCTCTATTCAAGTTCTGATTATCAAGCCATCAAGGCTAGGTCCAATGGGTACTATTTGCAACTTTGGGTATTCTTGTCCCCAACCATTTCTTTTTGGTACAGTGACTCTGTGTATTCTTTCCATCTTCTTTTGATGTTTTCTGCAGTATTCAATATTTTTCCCATGTTGTTGTTGCTAAATGCCGTCCAGTCAGTTCTGATTCAGCGACCTTATGTAATGTTTCCAAGTAGTGGCTGGTGGGTTTGAATTGCCAACCTTGTGGTTAACAATCCAATGCTTATCCTACAGTGCCACCTCAGGTCTCCATTTACCCTTAGAATTCTTGCAAGTCAGGGCTTGAATTTTTTCTTCAGTTCTTGCAGCTTCAGAAATGCTGACCTTAGTCTTCCCTTTTGGTTTTCTAACTGCAAGTATTGCACATTTCATTATATACCCTAGTAAGTGGGGAAGCAAGGATTCAAACCACTTTCTGAGCCCAAAATAAACATATAAACATTTCCACTATCATCTTACTAAATCCTCTCACTTTTCTTTTCTCAGAGATTGTATTAACTGTGGCTGCCATGAAAACTTCGAACTATGGTGACCATTTCACTCTAGGAAAATTAAAAGAATGGCCAGACCCCACGGCAGTTTCTTTAATGGAGGTAAAATAGCATGGTATTTTGAGGCATTATTTGGTAATAGGACTTGGACTCCTTAAGTTAGCTGCAGTTGTATTCTCTAGAACAGGAAGAGCATCTGGGAAATATTGTTGTTAGTTGTTGTTGTTAAGTGCTGTTGAGTGGATTCGGACCCGTTGCAACCCTGTATAGGGTTTCTGAGGAGCAGCTGGTGAGCTTGAGCCACTGCCCTACAGGATAACTAGATCCTGGGAGGCTCGTGGATCCCTGATCCTTCAAGGTCTGGAAAAGCACTGATCTTTTAAAGGAAGTGCCATTGCATTATATGATCCCATAACTTATCTCCCTTTGAAGACAAGCTGTTGGAAATTTCTTTTACTTTGTCCCATTTATCATGATAATATGAATGGTGAGATGCTCAATTTTTGTTATGCGTGCACATAGGACACTAGGTTTCAAAAGTGCTGCTACTAATTCTTAACATTTTCCTTTTACTTTCTGGCAAATCATAAAGAAAAAAACCATTAATGACAAAAGCTGTCTATTTTGTAAACTTGTTTTAAAACCTACCACGTGACTGAAAAATACATATGTATAATATTTGCCAATAATGTTATTAGAATGGCTGAAAAATGTTATTCCCAACATTCTCCAGAGTAGATGGTGATTTATTTTAAACTCACAGAGAGGCAGCTGGTAGGCTCAAACTACTGACTTTGTGGCTAGTAGCCCAAAGCTTAACTCACTAAGCCATAAAGGCTTCTTAGGAGACATTGAACTAAATCCACCTTTCTGTGGTTTTGACTTGCAAAGAAACCTAGCAGAAGGCAGGAAACTTGAGAATCCCTTTAAGAAAATCCGTATTGAATGTCTGAAAAGAGGATTTACTTTTGAGATGATCTTTTAATTAGTAAGCTTTCTTGGTATTTAAAAATTATGGTAATGAAATCATACCAGTTATTTATTTCAAAATAATCAGGGGTGGGGTGGGGGATTTAGATGAAATAAGATTGTCTCTAGAGTTGATAACTCTAGGTGAACCTAGGTGAATAAGTTTATGGGGACTCCTGTTTGAAATTTTCCATAAACATAAATTACAAAATATGCTTTGAGGTATAGACATTGTATTTACACTAAAAATATTAGTGAAATACACTGAGTTTTGTAATTTTGATTTATTTCTTTAGGATTTACATCTTAATTTTCAATTCTGTAATTTTAGGCATTAGCCAAAGAAGACATTGATGAAGCTGTAAATGTAATATTACTTAGAGAAAGTTATGCTGTGAAGGTAAGAATTAGTTACAGTATATTTCAGGTTAGCAAGAGTGATGAATACTAGATTAAGAGTTGATTAGTATATCAAGGAGATTCATTTTGTGGGGAGAATGAGACTTCTCTGATTTTTTTGTTTATACCTCATAGATCTGAGGTTGTGCCACTCCATTGCAGGATCATTAACAGGTCCAAATCCTTTCCCTGTAGTTCTGCCTGGAACTGTCTTTAAGAGATCTGAGAGGCTGTTCTAACTGCTTCCCTTCTGTGTCCTGATACTGAATAGAAATTCTTTCCTATTAAAACTTATCTTTCCCTCCCATATCTTCCTCCATCTTAGTGAGGATATAGAAAGACATCAGAAATAAATTCATATTTAAGGACAATGACAAGTCAGTACTAACTGTTGTTGTTAAGTACTGTTGAATCTGTTCTGACCATAGCGACCCTGGATAGAGTTTCCAAGGAGCAACTGGTGGGTTTGAACCACTGACGGACCTTGTGGTTCAAACTGACCTATGGTCAGGCGCATTATCCTGCAGCACCATACCAGGACTTCAACCAGTACTGATACTCATTATGAAATTAATAAGCACATGAATGCTTTATTTGCAGTGAGAGGGGTTGAAATTGGCTGTTATAATACAACTTTGACATTTGTATTGTGATTTATAGTTCATAAAGGGAGTTCACACATTTTCTCATTTGAGCAGCAAAAGAGGTAGGTAGAATTACCTTTCCTTTCTAAGTTCTAAGAGAGAAGCCTTGTGAGCAAATTGAGCGCTCTTTTTCTGCTCTACAAATTGTGTCAAAGAATTTTCTAATGATGAAGGTAAAGATATGGGAAAATGATTAGGGAAAGCTTCTAAATACTTAAAAAGAAGAGGTTCATGAGCTAGGAATGGTTTCATGTGGTTCATTCTGAAGGCTCAGTTGTGGTTTAGAACTTTCTACGAGTCCTCCCTGCTCTGTGCTTTCTGGTTCTCTTTCTGAACTTCATTGTGTTCTTCAATTTATGCTAGGACTTTACAACCTGAATGTGGCTGAGAGTTTACGAGTGGGAACAAAACCCTCCTCCCCTTTTTAATGACAATATAGGAAAACATTTTATAATAATTTGCTTTGCTCTTTTTTTTAAATCACTTTGTTAGAGATTAGATACATATTTTCAGCATCTGGACATTTTTAAGAAAAGAAGAAAGGAAATATTACATAAAAAATGGGTTGAAAATATTGCAGAGCCTCTTCAGCAAAGAATTATGGAAAAAGTAATTTCACATAGAGGACTGAAAAACACAAAACAAGAGAATTTTGAATATTATTTACAGCATACAAATAAAACGGTACTGCAAATTTAATTTATTTTTAAATAAAGTATAATTTGAAGAGTTAGACCAACAATCTCACTGTTTATGTAAACAGCTCCAAGGTTGTACTTAGTACAGACTTTTTTTAAAAAAAACAACCCTAGTTTAGGGTGGAGGGGTAGAGATAATTGATTTGGAACTAGATTTATCAGGAATGCTTTTAGGTAAATGTGGCTCAAGCCATAAGGACATTTAAAAAAATTATTTAACAAGAAGTCCAGAGGTTGGAGGTCTCACAGGGGTTCTGGCAGCATAACAATGCCATTTGCAACCTAGGGTTTTTCTGTTTTTTATCAAGGACGCTATACTTACTGTTTTACTTTTCCTCCTTTGTCCGCACATTTAGATGACAGTGCTTACAGCTCCAGGTCTGTGGTCAAGGCATAAAAAGGAGTAAGGAATGGTGCTCTGAGATTCACCCGTTACCCTGTTCCTTTTATCAGGAAGTACATCCTAGAAGTCTCTAGTAGACTTTTCCTTTGGTCTCATTGATTAGAACTGGGTTCTAACGCTAAGGACCAATGATACAGTGGGCCTGGAAAAGAGTATCTGATTTACCAATCTCTGTAGGAATTGTGCAAGGGAGAATGGGATTACCTAGTTATTAGGTTAGTTAGCCACATATTATGTATAGAGGCTGCCGGTTTCTATGCTCTGTGTTTCATAAAGCAACCACAGAATTTTGGTTTCTCATTTCACAGATTTTCTTTTCTTTTTTTTTTTTTTTAAACTTTGAAATCAGGTTCCTTTTTAAAATTTGTTTTTGTTGCTTTAAGTGCCTTTGAGCCGGTTGGTTCTGACTCATAGTGACCCTACATGGGGTTTTCAAGGAGCAGCTGGTGAGTTTGAACTGACAACTTTGCACTTCAAACTGGCCTTGCAGTCAAGTGCCTATCCCACAGTACCACACCAGGACTCCTTTTTAAATCTATTGTTGTTGTTGTTAGGTGTCATGGAGTTAGTTCCCAGTCATAGCGAGACCCTGTACAGGGTTTCCGAGGCTGTAAATCTTTTTTTTTTTCCTCCTCAACCTGCGATTTTTTTTTTACGGTTTTTATTGTGGATTGAGTGAAAGTTTACAGGGCAGATCATCAGTTTTACATTCAACAAATCATACACCTTGTTTCATTACAATGATTATAATCTCCTCCAGGTACCATCAATTAACAGTATTTCTCTCTGATCATTTAGCTTTTTTTTTAAAGAAAAGAAAAAAAACACTTAGGCATATATAATAATTTGCACCTCTAAGGGGTCATTCTGCAAGTCTGTCTCCTGGCTCTTAGTCCCTCTCTTCCCATGAATCTAGAGTCCTCAGCCACTCCCCCTCTCCCTGTCCCCATCTCTGCTTCCATCTCTGGCGTTGCTGCTTCTCTGGATAATGTCCCACATTCTGCTTGTGCTCCTCTCCCTTGATGGTCCTAGGGTCCTCTGTTTCTGGATTGTAAGATTAACCACTCCCCTGTTTTTGTTACAAAACTTCTACCTTTACAATTGTGACGGT